TTTTTTTTATCGTTGTTACAGTTTGGCCAGGGCCAGGTTCGAACCCGCCACCCTCAGTATATGGGGCAGGCGCCCTACTCACTGAGCCACAGGCACTGCCCTACTGGAAAATTTTTAATTGCATTATGGGTCACACTTTTTATTGGGCACTGTGGTCTAGACCAGAGGGTGGTAAACTGGTGCCCATGGTCCATCTTCATATTGCTGCCTATTTGGGGATGGCCTGAGAACTAAGAATGGTTTTTATGAACATTCCCAGTTAGAATAGATGGTCACCCTAACTTTGAATCCTAGTTAAGTGAAATGTTTTCTCACCCCAAAAGAATTCCATTCTTTTGATTAGTATAACAAAAACATTTACTTAGTTATTATGTTTTGAGTTTGTCAAAAATTTTATGGAAAAATGTTTTCTGTTAGGCTCTGTGCCTGTAGCTCAGTGGCTAGGGCACCAGCCACATACACCAGAGCTGGTGTGTTCAAACCCAGCCCCGGTCTGCCAAACAATGACAACTACAACAACAACAAAAAAAGTTTTTTCTCATTATATAAATACTTACATAATATCTTTGACTTTGCTCCTTGGCAAATCCTACATGATTTACTCTGTACTTTTATAGAAAAAAAAGTACTGACCTCTGGTTTACACTCTACAGATTTAACCCAGAGATGCATTTACATGTCCCTGAGGCCTCTCTACACTGAGGAGGTAAAATATTATCTCACCCTACTCTCAGCTACCTATTCAAAGATCAGAATCCTATGAGAGAGGTCAATCCAAACACAGAATCTGGAAGGCAAAAGTAAACGTTTAAGAGATGAAGAAAGGGAACTTACCTGGTTGGCACTGTAGTTAGTGGCCATGATCTTGTGCTGTTTACACTTGTTGCCTGGCAACTGCAGAAGACAGACCTTCTGGGACTACCTCCCAATCAGTAGGGATTGCCTTTCTCTTATTCACTTCCTTGGCTTACACTGCCCCCATCCATTCTCTCTGAAGTTTAGATTAATTTTCATTTTAGAAATGTGAGGAAGGGACTGAGTAAACGTAGTACAATTAGCTGAATAACAGCCTCTCTTTTTTTCTAGCATAATTTACTCCTGCTCAAGAACTTCCAGGTTGGCTCAGCGCCCATAGCACAGTGGTTACTGTGTCAGCCAAATAAAATGAGACTGGAGGGTTTTAAACTACCTTGGTCTAGCTTAAACAACAACCACAACTGCAACAAAAAATAGCTGGGTGTTGTGGTGGGTGCCTGTAGTTCCAGCTACTTGGGAGGCTGAGGCAAGAGAATTGCTTAAGCCCAAGAGTTTGAGGTTGCTGTGAGCTGTGATGCCACAGCACTCTACCAAGGGGGACTCTGTCAAAAATAAAAAGAAAGAAAGGAAAAAGAACTTCCAGGTTGTCTTTGGGTCTTTAACCACTTTAACAAACCATGTAGGGCGGTACCTGTGGTTCAAAGGGGTAGGGTGCTAGTGCCATATACTGGAGGTGATGGGTTCAAACCCAGCTCTGGCCAAAAACTGCAAAAAAAAAAAGGCAAAACAAACCATGTAACCTCAAGAGTTGTGTTCATTGGGCAGTGTGGAAGAACATAGCACAACTGTAGATCCAGATACTAGGGTTTGAGTCTTTATTTCACATGGGAACATAAGAGCTATATCATATTAAACAACTGGCTTCCCTTCACTAAATTTCTGCCGACTCATGTGTATTGTGGAGATAATAAAGCCTGCCTTTATAGGGTAAGGTAAAGTATAAGAAGTGTCTAGACGGTATCATAGCAGAGAGTTAATACTGGCGAGATACTGTTTATGAGGCCTCCTTCATTTTCTCAGGCAAAATACATGTAACAAAGGAACATTGTTTAAAAAGTGACTAGCTCAGTCAGGTGTGGTGGTGGTCTCCTATAATCCTAGCACTCTCAGAGGCCAAGGCCCTGGAGGATCACTTGAGTTCAGGAGTTTGAGACCAGCCTGAGCGAGAGTGAGACCCTGTCTCTACTAAAAATAGAAAAATTAGCTAGGTGTTGTGGTGGGAGCCTGTAGTCCCAGCTACTTCGGAGGCATGAGGATCACTTGAGCTCAAAAGTTTGAGGTTGCTGTGAGCTATGATGTCACAGCACTCTAGTCTGGGGCAACAGAATGAGACACTATCTCAGAAAAAAAAAAAAAAATAGTAAATAGCTCAACTCTGTTCCCAGAAGGAGAAATATATCTTGTCTTTGGTCCTTAAATAATTCCTGTTCTCTCTCCGTCACTCTTTGGAATTATAGAACCTGAAAGCAACAGGTGCTTAGTGTTGTCTGGGATAAGATGGAATCAGGTGCTAGGACAGGGAGATTGAGCAGGGATAATGAAAGTTGTAGAGTAGAAAGTGCCAGGTGTGGAGAGTTCAGTGGAGGTGCCAGAATACAAGCCTAATATGTATTTGTGTAACCAGGCAACCTCTCTGAGACTCATCTAAAATGGTATTATAGTGCCATCTACTCGGTTGTTAGGAGAATTAATGAGAAAGTGGAATGGAAACTGTTTTGTGACTTGTAAAATCTGTTTATACAATGTGTCAAGATGAAAGGGAAAAACTAAGAAATAAGTTCTCCAAGGAAATAGACAATTAAGACCAGGAGAGCATTATAAAGGATAACTGTCAGTTCCTTCTCTTTTCCTTCTTTCCCTAATGTCCTCATCCCAACCAATACACCAAGTATGAAAACAATTCTACACTGCTAGAGATTGAATTAAGAACAGCTCTTGTTTTGTAGGCTCTGGAGATAACAGCTGGATAAATGTGAAGTCCAGAAAGAGAACTTGTGTGTTTTGTTCCCATGGTTTAGTTCCCACCCACTCTCTAGGGTGGTGGAAGAGAGAGGAGTTGTTTAGACCAAGGACTATCTTAGCTCTAGTATATTCACTTTGGTCTGTAACCACAGTGATAGTTAGGCAAACATTATTTCTCTTAGAATTCCAGTCTTTACCTGGTATATTCTCTTCTGCTTTTCTGATAGAGCTGTAATGATAGGTGATGACTGCACTGTTGTTTTTAAAAATTAACTAGTTTTATTTAATTGAAAAAGTTCTATACTTGTGCATGGAGGAAGTTCAATGTTTTCAGAAGTTTTTACATTTCAGTGAAAAGCAAATTTCTATCTGACTTCAAATCCCAGACTTGCTCTTCAGAGGCAACTGCTGTTACTGTTTTCTTGTGTCTCCTTCCAGAAATATTCTATGGATTCAAACATTAATGAGAGCAAGCTGTCCACATTGTTTTGTGATTTAGATATCCTGGGGATTTATTTTTTCATGATAGTACCATATTCCATTTGAGAGACACTAGTTTTACTTATTCACACCAATATGGATGACCATTTAGGTTATTTACAGTCTTCTCCTATTTTTTCTTTCTTTCTTTTTTTTTGAGACAGAGTCTTACTCTGTTGACCAATGCTTAGATAGAGTGCCATGGCATCAGCCTAGCTCATAGCAAACTTTGGTGTTCAAGAGATCATCCTGCCTCAGCCTCCCAAGTAGCTGAGACTATAGGCACCCACCAAAATGCCTGGCTAATTTTTTCTAATTTTTTAGTAGAGATGGGAGTCTCACTGTTGCTCAGACTGGTCCTCCTACCTCAGCCTCTCCAGAGTGCTAAGATTACAGGCATGAGCCACTGTGCCTGGCCTATAGTCTTCTGTTGTTATAGACATTGCTGCAATGAAAATCCATATGCACATATATATCTTTTTTTTTTTGCAGTTTTTGGCCAGGGCTGGGTTTTGAACCTACCACCTGTGGCATATGGGGCTGGCACCCTACTCCTTTGAGCCACATGTGCTGCCCAATATATATGTGTATATATATATATATATAGTTTATTTTTTTGAGACACAGTGCACTTTATCTCCCTTGGTAGAGTGCTGTGCCATCACAGCTCATAGCAACCTCAAACTTTTGGGCTCCAATGATTCTTTTGCCTCAGCCTCCCAAGTAACTGGGACTATAAGTGCCCACTACAGTGCTGGCTATTTTTAGAGACAGGGTTTCTTGCTCAGGCTGGTCTCATACTCCTGAGCTCAAGCAATCCACCTGCCACAGCCTCACAATACTAGAATTACAGGTGTGAGCCACTGGGCCCAGCATATATATCTATTAACATATGTATGTATTTTAGGAACGTACATGATTTATAGACTCTATTTTTTTATTTTTTGAGACAGAGTCTCACCATGTTGCTCTCAATAGAGCGCTGTGCCATCACAGCTCACAGCAACCTCAATCTCTTGGGCTTAAGTGATTCTCTTGCCTTAGCGTCCCAAGTAGCTAGGACTACAGGCACCCACCACAACGCCCTGCTATTTTTTTTGAGTTTTTATTTTATTTTATTTTTTAAAAAAATAGTTAATAGTTTTATTCTCACATTTCACAATACAAATGAACACTGCCCCTTTTGGAGGTTTACTTCTTCCCTTCAAAACTATTCTCTCTTTGATAGGAAGGAAGAGCAAGTCTTCCTTACTATGCTATTAAGAAAACACCCAGAATCACAGTCCCCTGATCTCCTGGTGAAACAGAATAAGTAAAATGAAACTGACATAAAGAAAACTCCCCTGTACCCTTATCTGTCTGGTCAAGTCATTCCAGGATGAGTGGGCACCAACATGGGACCAGCAGGAGGTCTCACCACTGGGAGCCCAGGCATCATTAGCATGTGACCTCCCATGGGTGGCCTCATTCCAGGAGCAGGTCCCACTGGCATCATCCCAGGAGGAGGAGGACCCATCATCGGCACCATGGGAGGGCCCCACATATGGGGTGCTGGCATCATACCAGGATGAGGAGGACCCGGAAGATTGGGGAGAGGTAGAATCATCACCCCTGCAGGAGGAGGAGCAGAGAATGGAGTAGGAGGTATTTTCCTTGTTGAAATGCAGCTGCTGTTTTGTCAGTCAGGCTCTGGGCCTGGTCTGCCATCCATTTCTGACAGTCGTCCCTCAGGTTCTCTGTGCTTCCTCCCACTGCAGTGTGTCTTTCTCACAGATGGAGAGTCATGGGTGAGATATGTATGGCAGTAGTCACAGTAAAACTTGGGCATATTCCCTCCTGGCCATTGGTGACTCCTTTCTAATGTGAGTTTTTTAAAACAAGCCTCCATACCAGCGTCGGAGGAAAGAATGGTAGAGGGGTAAAGGAAGTCTGCTCTGTTGGTAATAAAGCTCCAAGTTCATCCCATCATGGATTTCATAGTCCCCTAGAGACACATGGTCCTTAAAAATCGTGTACCACTTCTTAAGGACAATCTTGTTCCAACGGGTGCCAGTTTAGGCTGCAATCACCCTGTTAAGGTCCCCAATGGTATCATTGGTGTTGCATTTAATGTGGCTTTCTTCCCTAGAAGGTCGTTGCAAACAACCTCGATCATCGCGGCTGGAGCTCCAAACTCAAACTTGTAACCTGCAGATGCCACAACCTCCAGCCTCAAGCGCTCTGATAGATGAGATTTTAAAAACCATGAGAGATTGTTTTGCAATCTCCATGCATTTGAAAACTGCTGGAAGGCACATCTAATCTCTACTTCAGCCTTTCAGAGCAACCGCCCTGCTATTTTTTAATTGCAGTTGTCGTTTTTGTTTAGCTGGCCCAGGCTGGGTTCGAATCCACCAGACTTGGTGTATGTGGCTGGCGCCGTAACCACTACAATGAGCTCTGAGCCTATAGACTGTATTTCTAAAAGTGCATTGCAAGGTCAAAAGGGTTTGTACATTTGAAATGTTAGTAGTGGCTCTGTGCCTGTGGCTCAAGCGGCTAAGGCACCTCCCTCATACACCTGAGCTGGCGAGTTCAAATCCAGCCCAGGCCTGCCAAACAAGGAAATGCTG